CATTTTGTAGAACAAACATTTTTCTACAAAATGAGATGTTTCACAGCTCCAAGAGAATCGTGATAACTAATGTATAGCAATTCTCCCGGATGCCCCAACACCAGTTAAAAACTGGTGCATGCCTAGTCGCCACTGCTAAATACGTCGTTCGACGTGTTCATGCCTTCGCTTAAAGAGTTCTGTATTTCGTCAAACAATTCGGTTGTATGTCATTCAATTCGACACACCTTCCGGAAAGCAAAAATACTTGGCGCTGGGGATAAATCCCTTATCTGAAACGCCCGACAGTGAATGTATTAAAATGCTAGCCACAGCTCTTAATATCACTTCAATTAAGTTTCAAGTAACTGACAGTTCAGTTGGAACTGCGAGAAAAGCACAAGGGGAAAACAGCTGAATTTAGTCCGTTAGATTCAAATAAATTCAAAATTCACCTGAATTCACTTCACTCAACTTCGCGTAAATTCCAAAAAGTTCCCAAATATAGTTAAGAACGTAACGACGATAATAGCAATACAAATAAGTATTAATGCCATTTCATCCCAAAAATTCATTTGAAAACGAGCAAAAAGCTGCTGAAAGAATAAAAGTAAGTGTTGAGAACATTATACTGTCAAGAAAAAAATGTTAAGTGAACTAATCAAAAATTGCTTATAAAATATGACATGCTTGTGATTTCGTAGGGGTTGTAGGAGTAGAAACACCTAAGACAGGTTTTATTGCTAGCTTCAATTCGTGATTTTCACTCTTCAGTTTTCGTAAGGCATTGACCAATTTATTAAACTGATGTGGTAATAAACATTTACCGTTATTTAGTTTTGGAAATTCTTCAGAGTAGATTTGATACTGTGATTTTTCGTCTTTCATGGATCACCACAGAATTATGTTTTTATTTAGATTCTGACCGAATAAACTCTGTTCAAATTTTTAATTTGAATTTTGTCCGAGAAATTTCTGGTCAGACTTTAAACTTAACTTTTGTCCGAACAAATTTTAAATTTGACCAAATTTGAAGTTTATCCGCAGCATAGCCATGCTATTCGTCGTGAAGCGAATACAAAAAGAAGTTGTCACAAAAGATTTTGACTTACCAGTAAGGAAGAATTATTATTATCACCCGTAACTGTATCATCTTCATCATGAAAGCGATAGCTAAAATTCGAAGACAAAACGACAGGAAGTCAGTCACTTTTTGTACAAGACACTTCTAAAGCACTCCAATGTTCAGCTAAGTTCTCTTTCACACGCATTCATCCTAGCCGTGATGCTATGTCTACCTGAATGTTAATTTTAACCATTTTATCACGTCTTCTGGATAGCCGGCTTTGATTAAGTTTGGCGTAATAATTGTTTTATCAGAATAAGCCCATAGAAATCTTAAAATTGTACATGATACTTCAGAGTAGGTAGAAGACAAATCCGTTTCTAAATCTGTATTGATATAATTCAACATTAAAAGCAGTAATTCATGATGATCAAGTGTTTCTTTTAAATCATTTATAGTTAAATATGCATCCCGAACGGCCACACATGTCATGTCAAGAATTATAATAATACACTTTTCGTATATTAATTTCAAATTATCTGCCAACTGAGTGCGTTTTAAATAGCTTTTAAAACCAGATCGATACAGAATATTAAAATATAAATAAAATATTTCATAGGCATACGTAGCATCAGTTGTAAATCGTTCGTCAGCTCCTATTTTTTCTGCTGTTCCAGCGAACAATTCTAATTTACTTTTGATTGATAAATATTGTTCACGTGTAACATCCGCATCTTTATGCTCTTCAATTAGTCTGACAAGCTCAACGAGAAAACCAGCTCCATCTTTTAAAATCGTTTTATCAAACTCCTCCTTCTCTGATTCATCTGTTAAGTTACGGAATTTGGTTAATACGTCCGAAAAGATTCCGTCGTCATTTTTTTACGTTACCTACCGCTCGATCATTCATTTTTGTGAAAAAAAGCCTAAATGAGACACTTTAAATGCAGAATCTGTAGAGCTTATGTCCCTAGTTGAGTTTCATTTTGTGCAAGACAGACGGATCCTACCGAAAAGAGTAAGAAAAATGCACTTTTCTGCTCAGGCAGCAAAATGCTTATTACTTTTTTCTCTAATAAGCTTCGCGGGAACGAAGCGGGAACAGTTGTCGTTACGAAAGAGGTTCGACTTTTATCGCTCGAGGTAATAGTTCGTTTTCCTACTTAGTTCTGTCACCATCATAAAATTTCACTGATTGCGCCGATATTGGAGTCATCGACACGTGTTTCTATACCAACTTTCTTCTCTCACTGCGATTGAAATCTGTTGTTTTATATCCCTAGTTCAAGTTCAAATATATTTTGCATATCACTCTTAAAAAAATGTGTTCTTAAGTTTTTCAGAGAACTGAAAAGTCAACGGGAATTTTGTTCTTCATTTGTCCCAAATAGAAAACTCAAATTCTGTTACTCTAAATTTCTTTTTCAAGTTTTCAAAGTACGAAAAAATCATTTTTTTAAAAACTGAAGAACACATTTTTTTAAGAGTGTACGCAAGGACATCACAAAAGAACGTAAACGTTTATTAACTTATAACATCTGATAAACAGAAGCGTTAATGATACCTTCTACAAAATTCTTCTTTTTTACACAGTAATAGAAATAAACATTTAACATTGGTGCGAGAATGTCTGCAAGGACACTCCTGTCTGCGTGCATCGCTTTAACTTTACCTTATACATGCGACTTCTGGAACAATCAAACTCCGTATCTTTTTTGTCTCGTGAAACTTCGCACGATTCACAGATTGCTTTCTCTACTAAATTTTCCCCTCACTAAACATATGAAAACGTTAGATTATTTTCTTCATTGCTGAAGATGGATTGGTACATACTCAATGCAACAACACTCTCACAACTATTTTCACACAACTTACGGTCTTTGCTTTATAAAATACTGATTTTCACGCCGACTTCTGGATAAAACAAAAAATGGAATGGAATTAAACGAATAAAAAAAATAGAGAAAGAAAGAAATGTGTTTCTACTAGAACTGCGACAAATAGCCATTTTCTTTTCTTTTTTCTTATCTTTGTTTTTTTATTCACGTTATATATAGTATCTCCTCACATTACAATAGAGCCTCAGCGTATAGCACATCTTTTTTATTCGCATATAGGAATACAAATGTGAGATTAGGTAGCCTATGCGGAAGGAAAGAAAAGGATTTTTTTTCGTTCTGTCATAACAAATGCGTCTGAATGTCGACATATGCACCGCATTAAAATGTACTATACGCTAAGACTCTAAAACTCTAAGCGTATTTGTCTTTATCTTTATCTCGCATATATGACATTAGGATACATTCAGAAGAGAACAAACATCAGAAGAAAGAAACAAAACATGTGTATATACGCTTATACAGTCACAAGAGAAACATTGCTCTCCTTGTGTATATGTTGTAGGCAAACTTAGAATTCAGGCAAATTCCGAATTTGCCTAGGCAAAATTAGAATTCTAAGTTTGACTGGGCAAAATTGGAATTCTAAGTTTGACTAAGTTAGTCAGAATTAGAATTTAGGCAAAATTGGAATTAAAATGAGAAAATCAGAGATCACAACTGATAAAGTCATAAAATTAATTATATGTGCTAAAATCATGCTCTTAGTTTCTCCTGCTAGGTAATAGGCCATACTTACCCACTGATGTATTAGATGTATTAGAAGGAGAAAGAATAATCACAATCTCGAGACGGAGTGATTAGCTGAGAAACTAGAACATCTGTGTGTGACCATGAAAGAAACAATTGTTTTAATTCAATTGTAACTTTTGCAACAAACTCCTTTCCATTATCACTATGAAGCAACCGTGTGGAACAAAAGCAACTGTGAACTTTATAATTGAACTCCTTCTTCTCTGAATGTGAGAGAAGATAAGGAGAAGACAGTTAGTTTGAAGTTGAAAATTGAGTGAGTTATGAATTTATTAACATTAAGTGAAAACAGCCTGAAAACCCTACTTTTCGTAAAACTCGCTTTTCGGTAGCCGAAGTTTTTAAAAAAAAGTTTTTCGGTTTCAAAAAACTCCTCTGAAAAAGTTTTGCTTATGGAAATATGTCCCCGAGTCTCTTCTTTCAAATGGTGAAAATCGGAGCTCTCTAGCTACTTTCTAGCAAAAGTTATTCCAAAAATGGCGGAGCCCATTCTTTTTTTAATCAACAATAATTATGCTTTAGCACTCTTTTGCAAATAGTCGAAATAAGAATTCTCGACAATGCTTCCTTGTAGAGAATTTTTTTTTTGATTGCAAGAGCATATCCAGCTCTAGGGTGTTACAGAGCCATTTTTTCAAATTAGGCTTTCTTTTTTTTTATTAAAAAAGGATCTCTGGAAAACTGCTAGCGTTTTCTACGGGTTTTTGGGAGGTATTGAACTTCTGAGCCCTCTCTTCCCCGCAAGAAAACCAAAAATTTAAAAAAGGACTCTGTAACACCCCAGAGGTGGATATCCTCTATCGAACAAAAAAAATAATAATTGTCTATGGTGAAGCCTCTACGAAAATTCTTGTTTCGAAAAAACGCTATTTTTTGCCCGTAATTTTTGAATATCTTGGAAAATAGTCATGATATTGGTCCGAAAATTTTAGCATAGCATCCCTATACCATGACCGAGATATCCTGAAAATGTCATGCAATTTCGTGACATCGAAGCCGAGATCCGCTTTTGAGAGGGAGGTGGCCTTAAAGTAGAATATTATGATTATCTTAATCAAACATTTTTTATACATACATTTAGATTACATATATCATATTGACTACAGTATTGATTGTTTTTTCAAATACTGAATGGGAATATTTGACAAACAGAGACGATTAAAAAGCTTTTCAAAACGATGAAATATATTCTTGTGCAAGTTTTATCAGTCTTATACTTCATTTCAATTAGTTCTTTAATCGTCTCTGTTTGTCAAATATTCTCATTCGGTATTTGAATAAACAATTAATACTGTAGTCAATATGACATATGTAATCTAAATGTATGTATAAAAAATGTTTGATTAAGATAATTATAATATTCTACTTTAAACATAATCTGAATTTAAAAAGTACCTTTTCTCTTTTCATAAAACAAAGCTGAAATATAATTTGTATGGATATTATGGCCTTCATCAATGCTACCCAGAACTTCAAAATAACTGCAAGACAATAACAACTTCTCAATTTCTGAAGGAAAATGTGAATGAATTTTAATCATTTATCCATTAATAAGGCGCCAGTAATTCGAAGTTGTAGCACTATTTTATTTTTAGCTTAACTGTCTCTCGAGATTGTGATTAGTCTTTAATTCAAGCTCCTTCTAATACATCTAATACATCCGTGGGTGAGTATGGCTTATTAGCTAGCAGGAGAAACTAAGAGCATGAGTTTAGCACATATAATTAATTCTATGACTTTATCAGTTGTGATCTCTGATTTTCCCATCTTAATTCCGATTTTGCCTAAATTCTAATTTTGACTAGCTTAGTCAAACTTATAATTCTAATTTTGCCTAGGCAAATTCGGAATTTGCCTGAATTCTAAGTTTACCTACAACATATGCTAATAAAATGATGAGTTAATTTTTGAAGAGATGCTGCGATATTTGCAAAATCATATCAAATAATTTAGTTTTTCACAGAAAAAAAGACAGTTTGTATCGATCTTTTTTTCCGAATTTTTTTACATGAAATCAGAGCGATCTTCAAGAAGGGTCATTTTCTCCGATTTTTCGGCCGTCTTAGCAACAACCAGTATTCCCTAGTTTTTCTGGTAAAAACAGTAGCCGATTTATTTGTAAGTTAAACAGCCAAATAGAACGCAAAATTCTGCATTTTTTGGCCTATAAACTAATGATTTGAACTTTGAATTTTATATACTGAAATAGTCAAAACTTTTCTTTTTAGTGCTAGAAACTTCGCTGGACTTGGAAGTTTATGTATTAAAGCCACTAGCAATTGAAATAAATTTCCTTCAAGGAAACGCTTTTGTAAAATATGAAATTATTTTTCATCATTTGACTGTAATAAAATTATTTCAGATCCTTTTGTACTCATTATAAGCAATTAAAAAAAGAGAGCAGTTTGAACTGCAAAACTGTGTGGTGGAATTAAAAAATTTGGAGGTTTTCCTGTTAGACTTACTGTGCCAAACATCAAAGATGAATATACAATCTTGTAGAGAATTAAATTGTCTATCGTTTGGTATAGTAAGGAATTTTTTTTCTGAAACGATTTGTAAAGAAAAACTCATGCAAATCGTTTCAAAATAAGTTGAACGACCTGTAGTTGACTCTAAAATTTTGAAGTCAACTGGTTCAGATTGAAATGTAAAAATATATAATGTTTTCTTAGTTGAGGAAAGATTTGGGTGTGAACTTATATAACTGTATAACTTATTCATATTCGTCATAAACAATATTTGAATAATAATGATAAACCAGTTGGTTATTTATTATTCGACGTAGTTATAATTATTGCGATTATCCATTTATTTTATCAATACGAACTAATAAAACGTTATCCGGTAAACATTTTTATTGAAAGAACCGTCGATGATGATAGTTATCGATAACAGATTTGTGTAATAATTCTCACTTCTTCTATCTAATTTATAATATTATAGGGTTCGTCGAAAACATTTGTTAATTTAAGGGGAGTCCAGGGGGGGGGGGCCGGGGGGGGGGGGGGGGGGGGGTGGGGGTGG